CCCAGCCCTGGACAAGCCTGCTGTGCTGGGACCGGCTCCTACCAAACGCACCAGATTTTGCACATAACCCGGCGCACCCCCGACCACCGTCCCTCGCTGCCTTTTGCAAGGAGGAGGCTCCCCCAGGTGCAGACCCCCCAGCCTGCACGTGCAAAGGAATCCGAAAGGCAGAGCAAAGGGAGCGTCACTTTCCAGCCCCCTGCTGAGCAAGGTTTGCAAGCCCGGCGGCTGCTTGCCCGAGAGGCCAATGGGCATTGAGATCGTGCCCCGAGCTCGCTGGCTGCCCCGAGCACACGCAGCGCTCCTGTCCCCGGCTTTTGCCCCTGCATGGCCCAGCCAGCGCTGTAGCCCCCACCCCGTGCCGTGTCCCTTGCTGAGCTGGTGGGAAGGATCTGAGCTGAGCCCTGCATTGCCAGAGCAGTTCAGGGAAATTCCCAACCCCCAGCCTCCCCTTGCCCATGCGGCTAGGAACACCCCCTACTGGGCTCCCCTTGCAGCCTCTTCCTGAGTGAGCCCCTCCTCCCCCACTGCTCTAGGAGAGGGGAAATCCCCCCCCCCACTTCAAGTGCCCTCCGAGGGATGCAGGAGCCGGCTTCCCATTGTGTGTGTGGGGAGGGGGGCTCTAGGCCATTGGGTGGCAAGTCCATGCTGATCGCTCTGCAACTTCCACTGCCTCCCGAACTTTCAAGGTATCACAGACATCACTGACTCAAGGAAAACAATCTGCTGCTGCCGGCTTATTATCACAACTGGCCCCTCCAACAGCGGCTCTCCTAGTGCGGACGGGATTCCTAAGGTGAACAGCTCCTCAGGGGGATCCCTAGCTAGGCAGGGTGTGCCAGGCAGGCCAGAATTGCCAGGGGTTGCCCAGGTTGCAGGCAAAACATGTTTTTGCTCCAAACAGGCATTAGTCTTCCACGGATGTATTTAGGGTTTGACTATGAAAAGCTTGTTCGCTGCCCCATGCACTGATCACAGCACACTGCTGTATTCCATGCACAGGAAACGTGGGCCCTGTGTTTCATGGCCTTGGAAATGTTCGCGCTCACCTTGTGAACCCAGGCACAGAAACTGTCTGTTACCTGCTATTGAAACCCAACCTGCTATTGAACCCATCACAGGAACATGGCAATTCACTCTGGTTAGTGGCCATGGGTGGCGGGTAGCAGAGGCAGGGGAAGGCTACACCTTCCAGCTCTCCTGTGCCTGGCTTCCCAATAATCCTGCACTTCGAGGGCAAAGGGGGTGCTAGCCACTGCAAGGGCACGGGCCAGCAGTCACAATGAGAGGGGCTGGGCTCCCTGGGTGCAGAAGGGGCGTGGCCTCAGACGGAAGGGGTGGGCTGTGGGCTAGCCTCCCCAGCCTAACAGTTCACCCACGGCCCCTGCCTTGTGCAAGGAGCTGTCCTGTGGACTTGGCAGCTGAGCAAAGGAGATAAAACAGCCACAGGAACATTTTCCATCTCTCACTTTGCTCGGACAGGGTCAGAGATCTAAACTAAGGTCAAGATCCCCAATGGTTCCCTCTGGGTCCGCCTGAAAGACACTTTGAATGGACAGGCCATTCCCACAGCTCTGTCACTCTCAGGATTTAGATGCGAACTCATTCGTATGGTGATGTTTGCTGGCTTTAACCAGTCGATAACTTTCTTGTTTCTTTTTCCTAGCTAATAGCCCTTTAGAGAGCTTATTACAGAATTGGCTACAGGCATTGTCTCTGGTATGAGAGCTAGGGAGCCAAGTGAGCTGGTGTAAGACTGGTCTCTTGGGTCTGGAAGCAACCTGAACGTTGTGTGATTTTTGGAGTAAGTTTATCTAAGTACAGTTTGTCTGGATGAGAAGACGTCTGTCTGATGCCAGGGTAATACTGGTATGGTAATCACTGGCTTGGTAGAACATACCACCAGTTTGGGGTGTCTGCCCTGTTTTCTGACAGTCTACCCTGGTCTCGGTCTGAGCCACTCCAGACAGAGCGACAGTGGTTCAGTTTTCTAGCGGAGTGGGGGCCTGAGAGGATAGAAAGCAGCAGGGGCTAGATCTATTTTTCCGCTGTGAAGTTCAGGCAGTCTTAGTTAGCTGGAAGTTGCCCTGAATTGACTTTGGACATTGCAATGGGATTTCCCTGTAGCAAAACCACCATCATCACAAGCCAACACAGCATTACTGGGTGGTTCACTTGCCCTGAAACAGGCAGTGGTCCTGTCCCCATCTGGAGCCAGCTTGTTCAGCACCAGAAGCCTATTTGTTTAGGAAGGGAACCCGCACCCCACTTACCCTCCTTTAATGTAGTCCAGGAAGGTGTACTCTGACTCCACAGTGAAGGAGAGCAGTGTCACCTTGGAAGCAAGAGACAGGGCAATGCATTACACTGAGCCCAAGGCAGCAGGGATCGCTGGGGCTGTGCTAAGTACTGAAGAAGGGTGCTAGTGTGATGCCTTGGAGTCTCGTGATTGCTCATTAGCCCAAGGAATGAGCCAGCTTCCCCTCGCTGCTCTATGGCAAGGTGGGTTGTGCTGGGTTGGCTGCACATTTTCTGTCAAAACTATTTTTTAGTGGAAAGTTGGGTTTTTTGGTGAAAATATCCGAATTCCCTGAAAAAATTTGTCTTCCTTGGCAACCCCCGACCCTCAGAGATGGAAGTATTCTGAGTTTGAAGTGGTGCTGTAGCACTTCATGAAAGTTCAGTTCAGTCACTTCATGCTCCAGTCTTCTCAGCTGGACTACATCTCCCATGATGCACTATGGCCAGAGGCACCCTAGTAGGATGACCAGACAGGAAGTGTGAAAAATCAGGACAAGGGGTGGAGGATCATAGGTGCTTATATAAGACAAAGCCCTAAATATCAGCACCATCCCTATTAATTCGGGACATCTGGTCATTCTGCTTCCAAGTAACACTTCCTTTCCCTAAGAGTGCAGACTGTGGTGCATCATGGGAGATGTATTCCAACCAGGAAGCCTGGCCCATAGAAGAGGATGGAGGCATGAGGTGCCCAAAACTCTAACTAGGCAGTTTTCAGCCAAAATCTTTTGCAATTTCAATGTCTGGTTGTCACCACCGATCCTCCCCAACACCCCGTTTTGAATCTTGTATGCCTGAAGGGCCCATTCGTGGGTTGGTGGCTCAGCGGGAATCACAATTGGCTCATCTAAGATCTGCCTGCACTCAGGCCTCCTTGGCATATACAATCAGAACAGGAAACTGTTCTCAAGAAGCTGCTTGGTGACTGAGTGGTTCCACGTTTCTGGTGACGTGGCAGGAAATTCTGACCTTCCACATCAACGCATAACATGGGGGAACAAAGTTGTTGGAGGAAAGAATGCCTCTGATTAGTTGGTTCTGTGTGGCAGCCTGCCGTTGGGCAATTTGCCATCCATGGACACTCATCTGCCTTTCTGAACATCTTAAGTTCCAAAGAAAAAGAACATCACTTACTGTTCCCGAGTTAAGGTATTTCTTTTTCTTCATTTTCTTTTTGGGATTCACCACCTGACGGACGGAGGAAATGGAAGAGGCTGAATATTCTGGGGTATGACGTGAAGCCTGCTTATGCGAGTGGTTCCCAAACTTTTTGGCATCACGCTCCCTTTTTGATTTTTCTGATATCAGGGTAAGTCTCCAAAGTATTTTTATTTTTAGTCTGAGCTACACCCAACCCCTTTCAAAAAATACCTTCTCTCCAGCGAAGTAAAAACAACCCCTCTCGTCTCCAATCTTTATACAGCAGGGATAAGGTGGGGGCAGAAAAGCCTAAAGCAAAAAATTCAGCTCTATGCAAAGATCTAGGCCTGCCATTCACAATGGCATGAATTGGTGTTGCCTCCATTGAGCTCAGCTGAGCGTTGCTGTTCTACAGCAGCTGAGGATCAAGCCCTGGGGGAGCAGTCCCTCCCCCTCCCCCTCCCCCAAGGTTCAGCTCAAGCATTGGCACCACTTAAACTCCTCCCAGCAGGGTTTATGGGGGCTGTAAATGGTGCACAGGCCCCATGCTGGCTCCGCAGAGAGGAATTCCACTCTCTAAGAGCGCACATGGCCCCTCTATCACAGGGGCTGAGCTCCTCACAGCCTTACCTCTGTTTACTTGTGAGGTAGGGCAGGACTGTCAAACCCATTTTACAGGTGGGGAACTAAGGCCCAGAAGGATGTGACTTGCCCAGCATCCCACACAGATTCCATAGAGGGGAAAGGGCTGTGAAGCCGGTCTCCAGCTAGCAACCTCCCCACTGGGCCAGCCTTCTTCAAGGCCAGACTGGCACTGTCCCTACTGCTAGACCCAGAGGCCAAGTGCTTGTGATTTGGGGTCCCTCCATTTTTGAGCACCCGCCTTGGAAACACCTTCCAGGGGCCTGACTTTCAGTAGCTGGTGGTGGGCACTTTGACACCAGGTCCCTTTAAGACATCTCAAGCTGGGCACCCAAAACCACTGGCCACTTTGAAAGGGCTTGGCCAGAAAGTCCACCCCTCAAATGTCCAAATTCGGCAGGACACAAATGCCCGTGCTACTTTCTACAGCCCGGCTGCTCCATAAGGGCCCAGGTCCTTCCATGCCTGGGGTGAGGGAAGTGCCCAGATCTCCATATTTTACTGCTCATCTGGCGCTCTCCTGCAAGTCCTGGTCTCCTCCTAGCCCTGCAGCTCTCATTGGTGGCCAGGAACGTGGCCTCTCCAGCCGTACATTTATGGTTTTGCTCTTGTCTCCAGAAGGAGCTAATCTGAAATCACTTTCCCCTGCCCTGCAGGATGATCCGTTTTGATACGGTCAAGGGACTGTGTCTGGAACAAAAGACGTTGATGCTTTAAACAAATTATACACCCGTCTCACCCTCCTTCCCTCACTCTTGCTCCCTGCGCTTGCTTGGGGGAGCCGTGGAAGCCTGCAAAGGGACACGCTGGGACACCGGGAACACGTCAGAGCCAGGGCGGCCATTCTGAAAGCTGCCCTAGAAACGTCACATCAGATGATATGAAAAGGGAGCTGCCACAGGAGCGCACAAAGCGCTTTGGGAGAGGGAAGGAAACCCAGCCTCCGAATGCAGGGGCTTCAAAGCTATGGGGGCGCTGCTCAGGTTTGCTCCCTGTGGCACCCGGGCTCTGCCATCTGCACGGGAGTTTGAAGGATGGAGGCTCTCAGCCAATGAGCGATGCTGACTCCCAGCGTGGAGACTTGCTATTATCTGCCCTGAGCTCTGCGGCTCCACTTACACCCGGGCACGGCGCGGCCCTGGCCCAGCTGACATGAAATAGTCTCAGGTCCCCCATCCCGCCTGCCAGCGTGGCTCCGTGAACACTGGCCAGGCCCCACACAGGTTGCAGCACTGCTAACCCCAAGTGCACCGGGGAACACCGCTCTGTTCTGGCCATGTGACATCGCTTGTGCTGCCAGGCTGTGACTGGCCAGTCCTCAGCTAGCTCCAAGTGGCATTTCTGGGCTCCAGCCCCTGGAGGGTGTAAATCAGCACAGTCCCATTGACTTCACCCTATGCCAGCTGAGCATCTGTCCCACAATGTCTAGTCTCCACACCCCTCTCCTTTCCCACTGCACTCCTGCACGCTCCGACTGCCCCCACCTTCGGGAAGGGTTGAGCAGATGTCACAGCCAAGAAGCCATGACTAACACAAACATGAGGGCAGCCCAGAGTAACTTACAGGGCTTGTATCCATGGTAAAATCCCCGTACAGCACCGACGCATTGGTATTATTTATTACTGGCGGGGCATGTCTAATAATTACATTTTATACAGTAATTTCCATGCTCAGGGAGCCTTGAATCATCTCGATTTCTGAGCAGTTTCCTGCCAATGCCCTGAGTCCTGAGCACCTACCTCCCTCTGTTCCAGCATTGACCCACCCCTACCTTCTGCTCTGCCAATGCCTTTACACCCAGTTCTGCTGGTTCACCTCAGTCCACCACTATTCCCATCCCCAGGTCCCTACACAACTTTGACGCCCTTCCCCACTCCCTGGCAGCCTCTGCTGCTACACTGGTCTTGGCCATGCCCTAGGCAGGGACTGTTTGGTACTGCAATTAGTATTTGTAATGATCGTATTGCCGACAACCCCAGTGCGCTAGGTGCTGTACAAACAGAGAGCACAAAGACTGCCCTTTCCCTCTAGCCAAATGTTCTCAAGCGAGGGGAGGCCACCCGACTCATTTCCCTTGCGATGTAAGCATGCAGGGAATCCAGGCCTTCCGAGGCGAGCAGCCAGCGCGTGACAGCACACCGATTGGCACTGGAGATCTCCCAGATTGCATCAGCTGAAGATCTAGCTCAGGAGTCACTCCCGATTTACACTGCCTTTCAACGCTGGTGCGCACATGACTAATGGAAGGGACGTGGCCCAGAACTGCAGAGGCCTGGCTGCCCAGAGCTTGGCTTGCCCTCTAGATGGGTGCCCCCTCTGTCACTCACCTCGTAGATGTTGAATTGGCTTTGCCCACGGGCCAGCTCCCGGTAGCTGGTTGTGAACTCCCCAATGAAGTCGTGGCTGTGCATGGAAAGAGAAGCTCTCTGAGAAATGTTCTGGAGATGGACTGTCACCTTTGGGGCGTACACAGGTGTCAAGGGACAAGGACCACCTTCCCATACTGCTAAGTGGGGGCAGGGTCCTGGCCAGATGGGGAGGTCCTGGGGGAAACCGCCATTGTCCTGTTCCCTCAAGATCCTTCCCCCTCCTCGCTGTCTTTTTCTCACTCTCCCCGCTTTTCCTGTTGTGGCAAGGGGTCACTGACAAAGCATCTCTGCAAAAAGAACGAGTAATGGCTGCAGCACCGTGGTCCTCATCCTCCCCCAAGTGGAGTCACTGCCAAACCTTCACTGGCCTCAGCACATAGCCTGCTCCGGCAGAGCTGAGGTTTGCACTGGAGGCTGCACGGATCGAGTGAGTTCCCCTTACCTGCCATCCCGGTCCCAGTCGTACACCTCCACCTTGATGGTCCTGCAAGACACAGAGCTGCAGTTACTGCTAGAGCCAGGGTGGGACAATTTCACTAAAGAGTAAATGCCGTAATCCCTCTGCCCCACACGCGGCACCTGGGCTAGCATCATCTTCTCTGGCTCTTCCCCCAGGCTGCTCAGGAGTCTACGCTTGTGCAGCCTGGAACAACCTGGTCTTCTCCACCGCCTGCTGGGTCTCCCTAAACACATTCCACGTACCCGGTCTACGGCCTGCCGGTTCTTTATCCCGCCGCTGGTCTGTGCTATGTGTTGCTCCCCATCAGCCTTTTCCTCACGGATGCCTCCCAAGCCCTCTCTATTGGGCTGTGTCTAGACTACATGCCTCTGTCGGCAGAGGCCTGTAGATTAGACACATAGGCAAAGTCAAATGAAGCCGCGATTTAAATGATCGCGGCTTCCTTTACATTTACATGGCTGCCGCGCTGAGCCAACAAACAGCTGATCAGCTGTTTGTCGGCTCGCCGCTAGTCTGGACGTTCCCCCTGTCGACATCAAAGCCCTTTGTCGGCAGCCCCGTTATTCCTCGTGAAGCGGGATTTCCTGGGTACCTCCTGGGCCTGCACCTAGTGTGTCTCCGCACTGCACAGCCAGGCCAGCCGATGGGGCCAGACATTGGTTTGAAGCCAATGGCTGTGCCCAGTGGGCGGGGAAAGGGTTAATACTCCAAGTGTGCTCTCCATCAGGGAAACAAAGTGAGGGGGTGGATTGCGTGTGTTGTCTCCATCTGTGACTGGCTTGGCCTTGGTGTCTAGGTTTCCGTGGCAACTCAAGCTAAAAATACACCTCCAAAAATATGGTGGTGGGGGGAAGACCCACGCAACAGTCAAAACAAACTAATTAAAGCCCCAGCGCAGGAGTCGGGAGGATAATTAAAAATCATTTTAATAATTTGTTTGGACGTGCTTGGAAGCAGGCGAACGAGTTAAGTGTGTGGAGACCAGCCCAGCAGGGCCCCAGAGGGGCTAGGATTGTTCCCAGAGCCATCGCTGTCCTGGCCAGGCCTTCCCCAGGGGTTGGGGTGCTGGCCAGTGAGCGGCGGAGTGACCTGCGAGCTCCAGGCAGAGCGGCCCTGGGCCAGGGGTAGTGGAGATCCCAGAACCAGTACTTCAGAGAGCCGCAGCAGACAGGTGTGGAGTAACGGGCCCACGGCTAGTGATCGCTTTGGGCCCTGACGCAGCTGGGCTTTGCAATCATCAGTTCCCTGCTTAGCGGGAATGGAGTCCAGCCGCTGCTGACTATGGATGCACAGGATGCAGACTGAGGGAAAGGAGTGGTGAGAACAGTGACAGCCTGGCCAGCCTCGGAGGGAGGGGGTGGCTCACTGGGTGCTTAGCAAACATTCAGCCACAGCTAGGTGAATATTAGCACCCTCTCTTTACAGGGGAAACTGAGGCACAGAGCGGTGCTGTGATTTCCTGAAAGCTACCCAGCAAATCAGTGACAGATCCTGGAATGGAAGCAGGGGCCCTGATGTCCAATCCTTTCTGCTCTGCCCATTGGATTCGCTGATGAATGAGCCATCGTCTCCATTAGAGATGGGCCCAGGTTCAAAAGTCCCAAGAGCTGGGTCTCCTGCCATTAATTCTCACATTCTTACCAGGACAACATTGTAAATCTATTGGGCTGCAGTCCTTGGCTGGCCCCGCCTTCACAGCCGTCCCTGGGTCCCCCTCACCCCGCAGGAGACAGGGCACAGCTGCTGCCCCATTGCCCCAGGCTTGACTCACAGAGGGATGTAAGGGTATGTCTACACTACCCCGCTAGTTCGAACTAGCGGGGGTAATGTAGTCATCCGCAGTTGCAAATGAAGCCCAGGATTTGAATTTCCTGGGCTTCATTTGCATGAAACCGGCCGGTGCCATTTTTAAATGCCGGCTAGTTCGAACCCCGTGCCACGCGGCTACACCTACATCTGTGGAACAGCTTTAGTAGGAGAGACTGGGCCAGGCCCCTCCAGGATGCCCCAGACCTGGTGATCAGGGACTCTCTGGAGCTGTGGGAGACCCTTTGTGGCCTGAGCCAGGAGCTGCGCTCAGAGCAAGAGGTGTCACTTTGGACCCTCCTGGGCTGAGCTGAAAGCATTAGCACGCTCCCAGAGTCTCCAAACGCCACGCACAGAGCCCACTGCCCTTCCACTGCTAAACTCCCCTCTGGGCTTGGGCATGAAGCCATCTGCCAAGATCAGTGACGCCAAAGCGGCCTTGACATTGGGTTTAACGACATGCATGGACATCAGCCCCAAAGGTTTGCTGTCTCTAGTGCTGGCCGTAACAGCAGTACCATGCCCCAAGCCGCTGTCAGCACTGCGGATCCAGCAAGGGCCTCTCGCCTCTACAGTAGCACCTAGACCTAGACACTGGACAAGTCGGTCTATCAGCCTTCGTGACTGGCTGGAAGCCGAAGGTGGGAGAGGATGATGAACAGGGAATTTCTCGGGGGGAGCTGCATCAGAGACTGGCTGAGATGAAGGCAAGGGCCAGATTTACAAAGGATGGAAGCGTATGCCAAGGAGAAAGCAGCTCAGCTCTCTGCACTGTCAGGTGTCCAAATTCCTTTGTACATCAGGCCCTAAATGGCTTCTTCTATCTCTCTGAGGCAGCAGGCTCTTTATCCACCCAGCTTTAAGGGAGATCCTTAAAGGTCCTAGTGTGTGGGCTGAGCTGCCCTTTGGAGGAGCAGCTGAGGTAAGGGACAAGGCTTGGGCCTGGCTTTGAGCTATTTCCCTGGTAGTCGGGGCAAAAGTTGGTACCGTTTCTCACAGGTACTGTCCTATCACACTCCAGGCCCCACGGCTCTTTCAATAGCTCCCTGCTGGCTTTCACTGCAGCTCTGCCAGTTCTTGCCAGAGCTGCGCACCAGGCGCACCCCCTTCCTGTCACCTGTTTGCAGTTCCCTCTGTGGACAGAAACAAGAAGAGGGCATGAGCAATGCAGAGGGATATGTCCCTGGTGACCTCTGGAGAAAAACATCCAGGGTCCCAAAGCAAAGGAAGTGAATGATTCCCACCCAACTCGGCGAGTGAGCAGGACGGCTACCGATAGAGGAAGAGACAGATGGAAGACTACGCTGGGTACAAAACAAGGAGACACATGTCCCTCCCACACATACACCCCTTCGTGGCATTATTTACTTATGCATTAATTATAGGGCATTGGATTGTGTGGAGGAAAGATGAAAAAAATCCTCTTCCAACAACACACGATGTCTAAATCTCCAGCATCACTCTGGAGTTCCTGCACGGTGCATGCATCATGCTGAAACATGTATGTGTCACTCTGAGCATCTATCATCATATGACACACCATATCTATGTCCCATCTGTCATGTATATGTTGTGCCATATGCATATGTCACACTTATCATGTAGGTCGTGACTCTTATGTAGATGATGGATTTTCCATATCAGAGTATCATAAGGCATGTTATGCCATGTACATGTTGTCTCTATCACAGAATCATATTATATGACAAATCATATTCTGTAGTCTCAGGCGTATGACACATTGATCACTTCTATGCTGCATTGCTCATATGATCATCTTGTATGACCCAGCATGGGATACATGGCATACATGTCTAACTACAGCTCTACTGCAGCTGATGGCAATACCTTCCTTGCTCTATTGTTCTCTTGCTACAGATCCACAACACCTTAACAAGCCATTTCCTAACGAGCTAAAGTGCTGTGGGCTGTAATTGGTTGGACAGAGCCTTCCCTAACAGACTGGCTTCAAGAGGCTCTTAAACCAGCTGGAGCCCATTCCACAGGCTGTTAAGAATGAGACCTGCCCTCAGCCTTAGCTCCAGGGAGCTGGGAGGTTCCTTCGTCTTCACTTTCCCACCACAGTTCAGCTCCTAAAGCCATCAGCCACACTCCTAAGTTAATTAATCAGCATCGCCCCACCTGGAACTCTGGCAGAGTGCGTGACAGGTGTGTCTGGCGGATGGCTGAGATGCTGGGGATCTGTGTGTGTGTCTTGGGGTGTGGGAGGAGGACATGACAGCCAGTGGGTCCTTAGCCCTGGGGGTGGGTGGGAGCAGCGTTGGTCAGCTGCTGTGTCCATGTGTCCACCAATCCGGAGCAACAGATCCAGGCACATCACATCCTTAATAGTCATCGCTTTTAATACAGCGGTTACTTTCTTACAGCCATTGCCTGCAAATATTTTTCACAAGTGGGAGAAGGAGGGGGACAGATTCCAAGGAGAGGCAGAGTGATAGCACAGCATGAAGAATAATAGAAACAGCTCCCCCAGTAATGAAACTGGGGTGCAAGCTGAGGATTCATGCACTGCTTTTCACACAGTTAGCCTGGTGAGATCATAGAAGATTAGGGTTGGAAGAAACCTCAGGAGGTCAGCTAGTCCAAACCCTGCGAAAAGCAGGACCAACCCCAACTATAAATCATCCCAGCCAGGGCTTTGTCAAGCCAGACCTTGAAAACCTCTACGGATGGAGATTCCACTCCCTCCCTAGGGAACCCAGCCCAGCACTCCACCAGCCTCCCAGGGAAACAGGTTTCTCGATAGCCAATCTAGACCTCCCCCATTGCTCCTCATTCTGTCAACTGCTGCCATTGAGAACATTAATCTTCTTTGGAACCATCTTTCAGGTAGTTGAAGGCTGCTCTCAAATCCCCCCTCACTCTTCTCTTCTGCCAACTAAACAAACCCAAATCTCTCAGTCTCTCCTCGTAAGTCATGTGCTCCAGCCCCCTCATCATTTTGGTTGCCCTCCGCTGGACTCTCTCTGATGTGTGCACAACTTTTTTGTAGCGGGGGGCCCAAAACTGGACACAATAATCCAGACGTGGTCTCACCAGAGCTGAACACGGGGAATAATGATTTCCCTCAATCTGCTGGAAATGCTCCTATTAATACAGTCCAATAATCTTCTTGGCTACAAGGGCACACAGTTAACTTATATCCAGCTTCTCATCCACTGTAACCCTCAGACCCCTTTCTGCTCAACTTCTGCCTA